TAGACTTCTCAAATTTCATTTTTTGCTTAGAAATTATCAGATTTGGTTTAATATAAAATTTTTAATGATTTTTCAAACACATAATAAAATCTGCCTGTAGCTCCAGATTTGGTTAAAAATATGTATAAATTCGTACAAAACTCAATAATTGTTGAAATGTTTTTTGGATGAACTAGACATCATTATCAACAACTTTGTAGAAGAAATCATCTTCAAATTTTGAGTATAAAATTGTCTAAAAATTCGTATAACTTTCTGACAGATTTAAAGAGCCAAATAACATATTCAATAATCTTTTTAATGACATAAATTATACATGCAAGTCTAAATTCTACAATATTATCATGATTTTTAGACTACCAATATTTGATATACCATCATAAATATTCATATAATTATAAATAAAATTATATCTACAAGTTTAGATATTTTATCATATGTATATAATCTGAAAATTGAAATATAAAAAAATTGAGAGGTTTGAGAGGGTTTTCTTACTTAGTAATAGGGTGACAAAATGGTTGAGAATTTTGGCTTCCTTAATCTCCTGCTCTTCTTCCTCTCCTATTACTAAGCTTGGTTGCTTCAGGGATTTCTCTCTTCTTCTTTTTTTTTTCACTGAATGCTTGCATGCACACCTATATATAATGAAGGCTTGCATGCATATATATATACAATGCTTGTTGAGCACATATCTCTCTCTCTCTCTCTCTCTCTCTCTCTCTCTCTCTCTCTCTCTCTCTCTCTCTTTCTTTCTCTTCATTCTAAGTTCTCTTTCTCTCAATTCCATGAGCATAATCAGCTCTTTTTCCCTAAACAAGCATGCAAACCAACATGTGGAAAGCCTCCACCGAATTTCTGACGCATCGGCGGACTCAATTTTCTCCAATTTCGGCTTCTTAAACAGCATAAACACACGAAACTTCGGCGGAGATCTCAGGAATGAAATCGGAGACAAAGGCTTGGTTCCTATAAAGAACACATCGTTAGGAGATTCAACGAAATCGGACTCGATCACGCCGTCCTTTTTATAGCCAAATCGTTGTACGAATCTTCGTCAGTGTCCGAACCATCGTCCTTGTCTTCCTTCTCGTCAGAACCTGGCACAACAAATTCCAAATCGAAGAAAGTCTCTTCTTCCTCATCGGATTCAACCGGTTGATGGCCTGCACTTGGAGCACAAGTTCATCGCCGCCGCTACACCGAAGAAGCCACACCCGTTGGCGCAGAGCTTTGTCTCCGATGGTTGGAAGCTCGTGCTGTCGTTCATCTTGTTCCCTTCAGAACCCATCTCTCTTTCTCTCTCCTCCTTCACAAAACCAAAAAAAAAAATTAGGTTAGGATTTGTGAATCAAAATCTCTCTCTTCATGTTCGATGCTTTGATCGCAAACGACCTTTAGATTTATGTTGGTTTGGGGACACAAACGACCTTCAATAGTTTAGGGACAAAGAGTCAAATTTCTCTGATATATGTTTAGGGACCTTAGGCATCAAAAAATAATTTTGTGGATCTCTTCCATTACGAAAAGTGGGAGAGGGACCCTAGACTAATTTTTCCTATCATTATTATCAAAATATTAAAATTTAAAATAATATAACTTTTGATGTAGATGTCGATTTTTAATAAAATTAGTATTTTTAAAATTCTCTCATCAAGATCTATCAAATAAGTTCTATGTTGACTATGAAATTCTTTAAAAAAATAAAATAAAATAAAAAATTATTGTAGTTGAAATTGATGTAAACAGTAACAATAATATGTTACCCTATCTCACAATAACATGGTACTCTAGCAATATTGTCCAGGAAAGTTAAAAAAAGAAAAAGATATTTTACTTTGTCCTTATTCAATTATATGTTTTTTCCTTAGAAGGCTTATGAAGCAAAATGAATTAGATTGTTATTTTCACCAAATAAGGATCCAATGTAAGAATGGAAACGGACCGAGGCTGGGATCACACTCCTCATCATCGATCCCCGAAGGTACAAAATTTCCCATCACTGTCTCCGATCCCCGGAGGGAACCCATCACCCCCTGTCCCCTAACGGGGATCGGATTTCCCTGACCCCAAAAAATCTCCGACCCTTTTTATTTTTATTTTTTTGAAAACTACAAATCATCACTTCATTAACAACAGATATAATATAGATCTCATAGATCTGAGCTCAAATCTATATTATATATATGTATAGAGAGAGAGAAGCTCCAAATATGGGCGGAGGAGGAAGCAGGAGCTGAGGCTGGCAGAGGAATGGTAAACGACGAAGATGTCGGATGAGAAAGAGGTGGCGAAGAGGTTAGAGATCTAGGGTTTGCGGCGGCGTAAAGGGGTTTGGATCTAATAGATCGAATGAATCTGATTTGAAATCCAAGATCAACGACACTGATATAAACAGTGGCGACAGAAGTGGTGGTCATACGGCAGTAGTAACGAAGTAAGGAGCGGTAGCGAAGGGATCGAGGTCATTGATCGGTGAGTCTATAAGAGAGAGTAGAAGGAAGAGAGAGAGAGAGAGACACACACACACACGCACACACACACACATAGAGAGAGAGGTATATAATAGAGGGATATATATATATATATATATATAAATGGATATAGGGGTATAATAGTAGTTTCAGTTCGGGGAAACAGGAACAAGGATGAGGACAGAGACAGGTCGGGGTTAGGGAACGTATCACCGTCCCCGGCCCAAAAATTGTTGGGGATTCATTTTCGAATTCCATCCTTAGCCCGTCAGGGGTATTTTTTGGGAAAAAATTATTTTAATTAGGGTTGGGGGACCGGGTCCCCGTCGGGCAGGGTTCAAATTGCTATCCCTAATCCAATAGAGAGGTTTTGTCTAATTTTTTTGTGTTTTTTAAAAGGCAAATTACATTAACAGTTCTTATAGTTTGGGACTTGTATCACTTTGGTCCCTAATTTTTCAATTGTGATACATTTGACCCTACATTTTGAATCTTATTCCAAACAAGAATAATCAAAGATGTTTTCTTTTGCAAATAGTCCATTTCAAGGGCAAAGTCGTCATATAACTTATTTTGTGTTGGTTAACTTGTATGTTGTTTGAATATAATGACTTTTTTTAATGAATAATGCTGGAACTTTCTTGATTATAAAGTTCTGTTTAGTTTGTTTTTCAGAATCTATTTTCAGAAATTTTTTTCTAAGAAATTAATAATTAAATTGGTAAAAAAATTAAAAGCACATCATTTTTATATAATTTCATCTTTTAATGGGATAGAAATAATTTTTTAAAATAATTTTTTTGATATTTATTTCCGTTAAATTAATTTCTATTTTTTCAAAAGTTAAATATAGAGCCAATTTTGACATCATTATTATACTAATCTATCAATCCAAAAATTCAAAATTAAAACATTTCATATTTTAAACATATATATTGATTATGCATTAAAAGCCTAATAATCATCCATGTCGTGATAATCATCAAAAAATATCTATTAACAACAAATACAACTATCTATTATATGATAACCATAAAAAAATATCAACAAAAACAATTACTCATTACATGATCATCATCCAAACATATGTTAAAAATTAATTTGGTAAAAAAAAAATAAATAAATAAAAATGTAAAAGATTTATCATTTTTATATAATTTTTTCTTTGATGGGTAAAAATAATTTTTAAAGATTCAAAAATATTTTTTTGATATTTATTTTTATCAAACTAGTTTATATTTTATCAAATTAACGATTTTACCCTTAAAATGGAGTAACGGTGCCTTAAATTGTCCTTATTTAGAATGAAATTTAAAATTTAGGATCAAATATATCACAATTGAAAGGTCAAAAATCATAGTGATACAAATCCCAAACTATAAGAATTGTTAGTGTAATTCGTCTTTTTAAAAAAAATAAAAATGCAACCAAGTCTTGAGAAAAGATATAAAAATAAATAAATAAATAAATAAAAGTGAGATTAAAAATAAATAACTGAGTCTAACTCAGTGAGTTACTACTCATAATGAGTTCTCTCAAAAAAACAACTCACTCAGGAATGGAGGCAACGTGGGTGGTTGGGGGAGGGGTAAGGAGGCGACAAGGATGGAAGATGGCGACGAGGGAGGGAGGGTGGCTGGGGAAGGAGAGATAAGTCGTCAGGGGATAGGGATATAAGGGCTTTAAATCCTCCCCTTAATCAGATATGCTTAATTGTCGATACTTTTAGTAAAAGCTATGGCATTTAGAGGTTCCTTCAAAGAAGTTAGTGATGTTTTTTCAATGACAATGGGTTGGTTTGGGATGTGGATTGACTTTTTGACTATTTTAGTTTGGAGTTAAAATGTCTCATTAAAATAGTTTATTTTGGGTTGGTTTGGGAAGTGGGTTGATTTTTTGACTTTTTTTACTATTTTAGCATGAGTTAAGAAATTTGATTTGGGAAGGACTTTTTGACTTTTTTTTATGAGAGAAGAGAATAATGATTATAGATTGGATGTGATGTTTTGTTTGTTGTAGTTAAAATAACCTATTTTATCTTTTGTGACTATTTTAGCCACAAATCATCTTCCCAAACGGACCATCTTATCTTATATGACTATTTTAGCCTCAATGGGACATCCCAAACAAGCAGCATGTCTGAGTAACATGTTAACTACAAAAGTTAATTTGAGGCATTGCAACATGGGAGATAGTGAGTCGTGTCCAACTGAATTTAGTTTGGAATATATCTCATTTGTTGCTCTTGATTGCGAGTGGTGGAAAATTGTTCGGTGAGGCTCTGGACTGGGGTTGAATTTTGAAACTAGGTCCATGAAGGCTCTATTGAGTCTGCAAGTTGAAGCTATGCCGTGCTTGTGGGCTCTGCAATGGCTAGAGCAACGGCAGCTCAGGAATAAGTTCAGATCTTTACTGATCGTCTTGTTTTGGTGTACCCCAATTGAATACTGCGAACACGTTTCCTTACTATTTTTGGGTAAATATTTGTATTCAAGATGAGGGATCATTCCACAAAACAGAAGAGTAGAGACCAAAGCAAATTTCATAGACACAGTAAATAGTTTGGACATCAGTTGTTACAGCTTGATACTTCAAAGAAGTGCCTATCTCACACTAACAATTCAAAGGCCATAGAAGGTGAACTTCGCTACAACAGTCTTTGTTTTAATCAGAAAATATAATTCTTTCTTCCTGTTCTTTGGATGATGCTACAACTTATTTTCGTGTCTCGTTTTTACAACAGTGCATCATGTTGTGACACTCAGCCAAACAAACCCATCACTCAAAATCTTTATTAGGGCGCAGAAGTCTCTCCAGGAAAGTGGTGGCAAAATAAATGGAAAATAGGCTTTCCTCGTCAAGACTTCGTATGAAGAATTCACGATGATGTATAACCGGGGACAGAAGATCTGTTAAAATGTCAACAGGAAAGTCCGAATCTCCATAGGACCAAGCTCAACAACAAGATCTGAAATATTGACGGGGCCGCCTCTAATAGCTCGGGGTGCCCCTCCATTATCCCCCTCAACTTTCCAAGTCATCTTCTTCATCTGTGACTTGTCTTGGTTTGTTGACAAGCTCACTTCCTTGACCTCCTTTATCTGAAAATTTAATCAGAAACAAAAGAGGTAATTCAGAATGAAACACTGCCAACATTTTTATTCTCATTAGGGCATGGTTCTCTGCACCCAAAAAACACTCCCACTTTAGCCAAGTTTGGCATTTTGTTATACTATTAAGTAGTGAGAGTTCCTTAGAAAAACATCCTCTCAGCCTAGCTTAGTCCTTGCACAGTCTACTGACCCAACTACATTTCACACACAACCTAACTGAAGTTGATAGTAAGTACATGGATCAGATGAGGAACGGTATACGCATGATCCATGCTGTGGAGAGCATGGATTGGTGCCAACATCATACTAAAACTGCAATCTCTCTAGATTCTTGAAAATGTATTGTCCTCCAAAAAATCTACGCGAATTGTTGTTCATCTTACCCATCACTGTGGGAACTCATAGGTAGGAAGACTTAAATATTGGAAAATGAACACTAAGGTATCATTTGATGAAGATGTCAGTTTCTTTTCTTTCTGTTTAGAAAAAAACAAGTTTTTTAATAAAGAAACATGTTTGATGAGTTATCGGAGGTGATTGCTAGCAGTGGAGGGTGGACGGATGTGGTGGCTATTAGCCACTGGAGTGACCAGAGTGTTGCCAGAGATCACGGGTTGGCGGGAGGAAACATGCAGTGACCGTCCAATCACTGGAAGGTGGCCAGAGCTCGCAGGCCGTGGTTGGTGGTGGGCAGAGGTGGCGGGGGAGGGAAAAAGAGTAAAAACTTATTTGAAAACAGGCGAAAACATCTTTGTTTTATTAAGTTTCAAAAAAAAAAATAATAATAATTTTGGAATCAATTCCATTTTTTTGAAAACAAAAAAAGTATACCAAACCAGTTTTTTGTTTCTAGTTTCCAAAAAAAAATGAAAACAAAAACAAAGACAGATAACAGAAATGTTACCAAATGAGTTGTACTTGTGACTGGACCTAAATTTTTCCGGGTTAAAAAAAAGACTAGACTCATATTATGCATGATAGGGACTAGGCGGGAAAAAAAAGTGCAAAAACAAAATTGATTAGGTTATACATACCATTTTTCCAGAAAACACCTGCTTCAATTCAACTTTGGCTAATGTTGAGTATTCAGCATCTTCCCCTGCCTAATCACATTTGCAGCAAGAAAGAAGTGTATGAGAGGACGATAGGACAAAAAAATGGATGAGAGAACTGAACTGTGAAGTGGACTGAAATTTCTTTTATCAATTTGTGAAGTGCCACTCTATATGAATCTAAGATATTACTTCACGGATCCAGAAAACCACGTAAACATTTAGTTTCAACATACTGTCAACACTCCAAAGAACATCTGTGACTCATAATATGGGAACAGAGAGTATTTCCTTCATCTTCATTTCTTAGAGTTGAAAATAAAAGGGTCATGATATAGTTTGGTCCAGAATCTATGAGAAAAATCTATTCATCTCCTTCCCATGCTAATTTCTCCTCTCAGACAATACTATTTGGTCGAGTTTTCAGAATCTGTTTTCTGAAAAAAAAATCAAAAACTAGTTTGGCAAAAAAAGATTAATAAAGCAAAAACACTCATTATTTTCATATGATTTTCTCTTTCTTTTACAAACTAGTTTCAAATTTTTCTATAAAAACGAGTTCTGAAAACACAACCAAACTTGAACTTCTCTTGAATTTCAGCAATAATGCCAATGTACAACCCTAACTTAAAAACTTCATGTACAACATACTAAAAACAGGAATGTATCCAACAGATAAAATATGACAGATTTAAGTAAAGAATGTTGGAGAAGGCATGGCGGCCTAGGGAAAAGTAGCAAAAAAAGGAATCATGGAACTGAATGTCTTGAGATAACACTTGCATCAAAAACAGAAAGGAAGGTGAAGGCTATTTTGAGTTTTTAAGTAGTAAATATATCCAAACTAATTTTACTTTATCGTTGTTAATGGGAATATGAAGGGGGTCATGGAAATGACTTTTACCTCATATAGATGTGCCAAGCGAAGGAGTACACTTCCATCATCCAGCTCCTGTAAAACTGAGATTATCATGATTTGCCTCAATTTTCATCAAAGCTATTAACTAGAGGTTCAGAAGGATTTTGATCATTATCATGGTTTGATGTTGGGCCAAAATTTCTTTAGTTTTCATATTGTTTCCATCAAAACGGCCGAAACATTTTTGTTCCTTGGAAACCTACACGAAATATTACCAAAAATTTGAAATTCTAGTCTTTTTACCTAAACACTACAAAGCATTATGAAACAACGAGTTTTTCGGCACATTATTAGGAATAGCTAACAATAGTTTTATTTTTGTTTGCATTTTCTTGTTAGAAGAAAATATTTGAGAACAAAATAAAATTATTTATTAGAAAATTTGAGAAAGTAGAAAGGAGATGAGGAGATAGAGAGGTCAAGAGAAAATGGGCTCGGTTAAGTCACTTGTTCTCTCTCTCACAAACCTCCTTCACCAACTAACCATTTAAATATTTTGTTTATGAGTTTCCAATATTCATTGATACAGTGAATCTTATTTTTTTATCTTGTTTTAGAAAAAAAAAAAAAAAAAGACTTCAACCATGTTTGCATAGAGGGCCTCCCATGTCTTGGGAACCCTTTAATCTTTGTTTATTATTAGTATCGTAATTATTATTATTATTCTTGACAATGCTGTAAATTTTCTTTGGTTGGAACCTTATATACATTTTGAATTGTATACATCTATATGCTTGACAAGATTGTTTTGTTTAACAAACATTAGTTTAACTTTCCCTGGTTCACATTGAATTTACTTTCAAATTGTTTAGTTGTGCACTTTATGTAAAGAGACGTATAAACCTCAAACATGTTCAGCTATTTAATTATTGAACTTGTATAAACATTTATGCAGGCTTTAGTTTCTATTTCTAAACATTTCTAGTTTTTTGAGGTTTCTCTTGTGTATTCAAAATATTTATTAAATATTTCTTTTTTTAAGCAAATCAAAACAATCTAGCGAAACAAAATTTTGATCCTTGGCACAAATATGATCGGGACATAGATTATGTGGGTTACAATATTAGACATTTAAACAATTCAAATACATGTTTAGTTGTGCACTTTTTGTTTTTAATCTGTCTCACTGTTAATCACTTCTCTCTATATACTAATGCCATATATAACTTGAGCATGGTATCCGCCTCCCTCCCAAATTTTAAGAAAAGTGACCTTCACATGCTCAAGTGTAACAATGCTTACCTAAGTTACCTTACATATGTTACTTTTTGCTATATTTCTGATGATGTAGTTGTGAAGATTATTGTATTTTCTATTAGTTATTTAGGGTAGTTTAGTCTATTAGATTATTAGGGTTTATTTCATTTAGGTTATATATATTGTACTCAATGATTATTCAATGATATATAAAATAGATGTTCTTTGTTATCATGGTATCAGAGCTAGGTCACAACAGCAGACTTAGCACGTAGATGTAGCCTTCTCCCTTTGCATACGTCCTTCGCAGGTGTTCTCTTCTCCCATACGACTTGCGAATCATTCTGAAGCATCTGTTCTAGGCATCGCAACTGGTCTCCTCCCACATACGACCTACGAATCCTTCTAGAACATCTATTCTAGGCATCGCAGCTTTTGTTCCAGGCATATCGACTCTTGCAGTTGTTTTTTCTCCAGACTTCGCAACCTTTGGGTGAGTGGTTCCAGCCCAGCGCAACCTGCAGCTCTTACGAAAGTCCTTTTCAGCCACTTTCGACTCATCTGGATCAGTCGAGTTGATATGGGTAGCAGTCGAACCTCTGTTTTTTTGCCTTCTCGCTGGTTGAGTCAAACCTCTAGAAGCCCTTGAGTCAACGTCTTCTTCCCTGTGATCGTCTGGTTTGATTGAAGGCTTCTAGCGACCAACAGTTCTCTTGCGAATGCCTCTACCTGGCTTCGAGACCCGACTGCCCTGTCTCGCGCCTACCTCTTCTGTTCTGCTTCATGAATTTCGTTCGTGGTTCTCTCAGTAATTTCGGCTCCAAGTCTTCGATGTCGTTCGTCATTCTTTCGTCAATCACGACTGCCTGACTCTGCTTTGATTTCTCTCTTGTCGTTCGTGGTTCTGGTTGCTGGGATTGGAACTCTCTCCTTCCCTTCCTCCTCGTGATCTCTGGCTTACTGTATCTCTCTGACTGGTACTACTCTCTCTCTCTTCTCTTCGCACTTGGTCATCGTGGTCTCTGGTTCAGTGTGTATCTGTGTCTGGTACTATTTGTTATTTGCACTGGGTTGTTTGATTATAGCAATATGGCTGATGATAAATTGCAAGCCATCACAACTAAGTTGGATGGCACAAATTATTCTTATTGGTCTCATGTAATGAAAAATTTTATCATGGGTAAAGGTATGTGGAACTATGTTATTGGTGTAACTACTCGACCATTAGAATCCAAAGAAACTGAGGCTGATGTTGCTAAATGGGATAAGGAAAATGCACAAATTCTTACTTGGTTTCATAATTCAGTTCAAACCACCATTGGTATAAATTTCTCCAAGTATTTTACTTCTAAACAAGTTTGGGACTATTTGAAAACTATGTACTGTGAGTCTAACTTTGCAAAACAGTATGAACTTGAGATGTCCATTTGTAGTGCTAGTCAGAAAGATAAGTCCATTCAGGAATTTTATAATGAGATGACTACTTATTGGGATCAGCTTGCTCTAATGGAACCATCAGATTTGCAGTTACTTGACAGTTATACCAAGTATCGGGAGAAGCAACGTCTTGTTCAGTTTCTTATGGCCCTTCGTGATCAGTTTGAGCCACTTCGGGGCGCTATTCTTCATCGGTCCCCCTTGCCTTCTGTTGATGGTGCTGTCCGTGAGCTTATTGCAGAAGAAACTCGCTTTAAGGTGGTTCATGATACTCCTCATTCCCAATCAGTTTTTGCCACTCCTCCGCTCTTGCTAACCCCACCATCTTCTTTATTTCAAGTTACTGGTAAGCCCAAGCCTCGGGTTTCTATGGATAAGTGCAGCTTCTGTCATCAGAAAGGTCATTGGAAACATGCTTGTCCTAAGCTGGTGCAGCCCAAAGGCCGTTCACCTGGTCCACCATCCTCTAAGCCGACATCTTCGGGATCTCGCTCATCTGCCGCCTTTTCTGCACCAGTTTTTGAGAATGGTCTATCTTCTAATATGCAGTCTATGTTTGAGCAGTTCAAGTCTTTCATGGTGGCCAATCCAACTCTTTCGTCCCAGGCTTCCGCTATGACTACCACTCAATTAGGTTTGTCTGGTTCATCATCCTCAGGTAATATCCACACTTCGTGGATCTTTGATTCTGGTTGTTCACATCATATGACCCCTGTTGCATCTCTCCTTAGTAATTGTGTCTCCCCTCCTTCTCCTATCACTATTGCTACTACTAAGGGTTCATCTATGCATGTCTCCTCTATTGGTTCTATTTTCTCTTCCCATTTGTCTCTTTCTCCTGTATTTTATGTACCTCATCTCTCACTTAGTCTTATTTCTATTAGTCAATTATTTGATTCCGGTTTTGATGTTGTTTTCTCTTCCTCTCATTGTGTTGTGCAGGATCGGGTCTCCAAGAGGCAGATTGGGATCGGGCGTAGAGTTGGAGAACTATATATCTTGGACAACTTACATGTTCCTTTAGATGTGTCTTCTACTGCATTGTCTTCTTTTTGTTTAAACAATAAGTCCTCTTTATTTTATATTTGGCATTCTAGGTTAGGTCATTTGTCGAGTGATCGTTTGAGGATGTCAGTTCAGTCTGGACATTTAGGCCATTTTTCCATTGCTGATATTTCAGAGTGTCGTGGTTGTAAACTGGCTAAAATGTCTGCTCTTCCATTTAATAAAAGTAGTTCTATTTCATCTTCTCATTTTCAATTGGTTCATACTGATGTTTGGGGTCCTTCCCCTATAGTTACTAAGGGAGGTTCGCAAGATTATGTATCTTTTGTGGATGATTACAGTCGGTTTACATGGGTTTATTTGATGACACGAAAATCTGATTTTTACAAAATATATTCCAATTTTCACTCCATGATTTGCACTCAATTTTCCACCACCATTAAAGTTCTTCGTTCTGATTTGGGGGGTGAGTATTACTTGTCTGAGTTTGAGGAGTTTTTAGCTACTCATGGTACTATTCATCAGTCTTCTTGTTCAGACACTCCTGCCTAAAATGGTCGTGCTGAGCGCAAATATCGCCATCTCCTTGATATAGCTCGTTCTTTGCTACTCTCATCCTTTGTCCCTTCTGTCTTTTGGGGAGAAGCTGTGCTCACTGCTGCATATCTTCTCAATCGGATGCCTACTCCTCTTCTCTCCGGCTCATCTCCATATGAGCGTCTTCTTGGTGTTACTCCCAATTATTCTCTTCTTCGTGTTTTCGATTTTACATGCTTTGTGCTCCTTCCTAAACGGGCGCGCTCTAAGCTTAGTCCTCATTGTGTCCTATGTGTCTTTTTAGGGTATGGCATTAATCAGAAAGGTTATCGGTGCTATGATCCTGCCACCAAAAAGCTTTATGTGTCTAGGCATGTCACTTTTTTGGAAAAACTACCCTACTACACTATACCTTCCACCCCTGTCCCTATTACCAAGGAGGAATTGGTTCACATTGACCCATTTCCTTCTGATGTTTCTTCTGATGAGTTTGTTTCTGATCTTGAGATCTCTACCTTGCCTCCTCCTAGTACCTCTAATATCTCGGCAGCTCCTCCCTCTCCAGCTCCCGCTTCCCCTGCTCCTCTTCTTGTTTATCAGCGTCGCAAAGCACTTCCGAGTTCGCCTGTCTCTAGCTCTACTGTCCCTCCAGCTGTTTCTTTGGATCCCGCTCCTCCTGCACGTCGTTTTTCCACGCGTGATCGTCGTGCTCCCAACTGGTATGGTTTTGGTAATACATGTTTTTCCCTTTCATATCAGTCTTTTCTTTCTTGTCTTCATACTTATTTTGAGCCTAGGTCCTACAAGGAAGCTTGTCATGATCCCAATTGGATTGCTGCCATAAATGACGAGTTAACTGCTTTAGCTAACACTCAGACTTGGGATTTGGTTCCATTACCTACTTGCAAGAATATTGTAGGCTCTAAATGGGTTTATAAGGTCAAAACACTTTCTGATGGTTCTTTGGAATGATACAAGGCTCGTTTGGTTGCCCAGGGCTTTTCTCAGGAGTATGGGATTGATTACGATGAGACTTTTGCCCCCGTTGCCAAGATGACTACTGTTCGTACTCTTATCTCTGTTGCTGCTGCCCATCACTGGCCTTTGTTTCAACTTGATGTCAAAAATGCCTTTTTGAATGGGCATCTTGCAGAGGAAGTATATATACGCCCTCTACCGGGTCTCTCACACCCTCCTGGTGTGGTTTGTCGTCTTCGCCGTGCTCTCTATGGTCTTAAGTAGTCTCCTCGTGCTTGGTATGAGCGATTTCACTCTGTTGCACTTCAGCTTGGGTTTTGCCCTAGTCATCATGATTGTGCTCTATTTGTTCGGCGTACTTCTGTTGGCCTTGTTCTTCTTCTCTTATATGTGGATGATATGATTATCACAGGCTCTGATTGTAATACTATTGAGGAGGTTAAGCATCAGTTGTTTCAGGAGTTCGAGATGAAAGATTTGGGGTCTCTTCGATATTTTCTTGGTATTGAGGTTGCTACTTCTTCTACTGGGTATCTTCTTTCTCAGACTAAATATGCCCGTGATATTCTTTCTCGTGCCAATCTCACTGATGATAAGATTGTCGACACTCCTCTTGAGTTGCATGCTAAGTTTTCTGCTTCTGATGGCGTTCCTCTTGAGGATCCCACTTTGCATCGTGAGTTGGTTGGGTGCCTTGTTTATCTCACCGTTACTTGTCCGGATATCTCCTATACTGTGCACATTCTCAGTCAGTTTGTTTCTGCTCCTTGCTCCACACACTGGGCTGCCTTACTCCGTACTCTGCGCTACCTTCAGGGCACTTTGTTGCAATGTCTGCTGTTATCTGCCTCTTCGGACTTGACTCTCCGTGCCTATGCTGACGCTAATTGGGCCGGTGACATCTCTGATCGCAAATCCACTTCTGGTTTTTGTGTTTTCCTTGGTGATTCTCTCAAATCTTGGAAAAGTAAGAAACAGTCTATTGTAGCTCGTTCCACTGCTGAGGCTGAGTATCGTGCCATGGCTCATGCTACTTCCGAGATAGTCTGGCTTCGCTGGCTTCTCTCTGATATGGGCATCTCTCTTTCTGATCCGACTCCGTTGTATTGTGATAATCAGAGTGCTGTTCAGATTGCTCATAATTCAGTCTTCCATGAGCGGACCAAGCATGTTGAAATCGATTGTCACTTTGTCCGACAGCATCTTCAGGCTGGCACTATTTCTCTTCCTTTTGTTCCGTCCTCTATTCAGTTGGCCGATTTTTTTACAAAGACTCATACTGTTGCTCGTTTTCGTTTTCTTCTTAGCAAACTTTCGATACTTTCTGCGCTCGCATCCTCAGTTTGAGGGGGGGTGTGAAGATTATTGTATTTTCTATTAGTTATTTAGGGTAGTTTAGTCTATTAGATTATTAGGGTTTATTTCATTTAGGTTATACATATTGTACTCAATGATTATTCAAAAATATATGAAATAGATGTTCTTTGTTATCACCTGTGTCTCGTTACTTTCACCACACTTTGGATGTTACTTTTTTGCGAGGATCTTCCTTTCTTTGGTACTAACCCTCCATTGCAGGCTCCTCTTCCCGTGACTTCCAGTGTTCGCCTGGTGCCCATTTTGGCCAAGGTTGAGGATGAGGTTGTTCCCCTCCCTCCTTCTCCACTTTCACCTCCCCCACCTGCCCCCCCATTTCAGGTCTACTCTCGTCACCTACGCCCTCAGATGCCCCCTACCACCTCTTCGAGCTCTGGGTCAAGTACCTCTTCTCCTTTAGCTCCAACACACATTATCAAAAAAATTGTGATTATCATTCAATAACACGACTCCCCATGTAATCCTGATTGAGATGAATATAAGAAGCCTATATTTTTAATTTTTTTTTTAAACATTTAGAAAGAGCAACCTTGGTGACATGTAAGTAATCTATCCGAGCCAAAGGTTTTCATGTGTTTAGCTACTATTATTAGCTTGAATTTTGACGTGAGGAACATTATCCATTAACACAAATCTTCAAGTTAATCTTTTTGTTTGTCATTTATCAATATATAAACTCATTAATCTTGCATTTGAGTGTAAACTCATTATTTGTCTGCAAAGGAATATTTTTGTTTGTACAGAATCATCCAATGTTGACTTCAGATGTGATAAATAGGCATAATGCCCTCTCTTCGATAGGCATGGACCTGATTTTCCTTGCCATTCTTGTTTATAGATAAAGAATATTGCCTTCCACATATCAAACAGGATGCCTTTAAAAAAACAGCAAAGATATCATACCGTGAGGCCTTCACATCTATTTTCAGCACACACCGTCTCATCAAGGGCTTCACCAACTCCTCTGGAGTCGTCAAAGATTGTACGCCTTGTGTATACAAGAAAGGTAATTATTCCAAAATGTAATATCAATAAAAATATTTGTAACCTATCAATGTTTGGGAAGAAAATAAACGAAAAATATTATGTAAACCTATGAAGCATTAGCTCTACTTCTCCATCTTCAATGCTGGCTCCACCAACGGCACGATCAACCAAGACTGAGAATTCAGATTTTTTGTCCACCGTGTAAATTCCGAGATTGAGCTGAAAAATAGAAGCTAGAAAGTTTATTCAATAATACTACCAAAATTTATTTAATCTTAATTTAAATGAGAAGGAAAAGATTGAACTATTGCACATCATTTGAGGAAAACCATAAATGTTTCCTCTAAAAAGATAAAATGCCATCTTCAATTATTCTATACTACCGGATTCAAACAGATTTATTGTCCTTAATCTATACCAATCCAAGTAGTCCCACCTTCATTTAACTCTTTTTTTATTATTATTTTTTTTAATTTTTTTTATAGAGAAAAACTCTAAACATTATAATCAAAAAGGGTCTTAGCACCTGAGGCAATTTATTCAACCATTAAATCTCAGCCGACATTTTGATTGTTGAACCATGATAAAGAATAAAAAATATCACAAACCTCAACCATCCAGTTCATATAAATTGTTAAAATTTGAACACCTTAACTGCATAGAGCAAATTCAGAAAAAGAGTACGCCAAACAGGCTATGTCAGTCCTACTAACATAGAATGCCGTATTTATTTTGGGTCTGTCCCCTGTACATAGACAATTCTGTTTAAATATCATTTATTGCCAGGTTTGAGGCTTGAAGTTTGAACTTAATTTTGGTAAAATACAAGTTGATAATGTTACCGGATAATAGTTCCCTGCAACGGGTTGATGAACTTGAAGAGGCCAGTCCTCTCTATAATCTCGAACCTGGAAAATCCATGATACAGAACCAAGTCAGACCTAGAATAACCAATTGAGGATGTGAAATTTCACAGAAAATAAAAAAACTTAGTAATTTTGTATGCGTGCAGAAAAATTCAGAAAATGTTTTGTAGTGGAACAAAAGAATGGGGTTGCAAATAAACTATTCCCATAACCCATAAGATATTTACCCAGGATTTTGTACAACGGTTCATTAAACATGTGTTTGGTGGATGGAATTACACAGAATTGTATGTTACATGCTTCCCATTTACCAAAAGACATCAAGAATTAGGTTGTACAGTCTACCTAAATGCTAGCAATTCCATTATAGGGATCATTAGTATTACAGAAAATTAAGATGACAAAAAACGTTTCGCAACTAAAGACCAAGCAGATATTTCAAGCCACTTCCAATTAAGTAGCATTTTAAGTGTCAGAATAAGTGCCACCTCATACTAGACATCATGGACTTTATTCTTGCTCTATTATGGGCAGCATGTGAAATAGGAAAAAAGCTTCCATTTGGAAAACCTATCTAATATATTGTTTGTCTAAATGATTTTTAAAAACAGGAAGTCAACATATATATTGAATTAGAGATCATAAATCATAAAATTGGGGGAAAGGAAGTTGAAGATATATAGTTTTCCATCAGCCATTTTCTGTTATAATTATAACCATATAAAAATCATACAAGAAAAGAAATGATCAACTACGAAACGCATGCCTTTTGTAGAGGATTTTCTGAATGCTTTTGATTTTAAAAGAAAAGAATCATATGAAAGTTACCCGTTTTAGAAAGTCCCTCCCATTGGAATCAGTATAAAACACTTTGTCTGTGACCATATTTGCTGTCATCCGCGTAATGATCTCTTTTCCAACACTATCGTCCGTGGGTATAGGACCAATCTTGAAATCAGAATTTTGTCAGAACTCAGTAAGTATGATTGTGGCCCTGTCACTTCCCATACATATTGTGACAAGAACAATGGCCATTTGCAATGTTCTTTAGAATTAAGATAATTGAGAATGTTATTTAAAAATAAATACATTCATGATTAGCAAGAAAAAAGTTTATGAGACTGACTTACTGTGAATTCAACTTCAGCATGTTCTTTATCTTTGTAAAGTCTGATCACCTGACAAAAAACCATAAGTTAGACATCAGCAACAAACAAGTCTTCGAAGGAGGAAGACCCAAACAAAAATAATAAGTTGAGGGACAGGAACAGTATTATCACCAAGGGCTTATATGTTGAAAAAGAAGAGGAAATAAAAGCTGTCTCTCTTATTTTTAGAAGCTTGAAAGGTTTAGGTTTCAAGTATGAAAATTCTAAAGGAGAAAGAAGGCGTGGGTTTTAAAAAATTGGGAAAAAAAAAAGGTCATGTTTGAACACATGTTCAACTTGTGTTGATATGTGTCTAATAAGTGTTGGCATCTAACACATATTGGACACAAAAATGGCATGCTAGTACGAGGTAATGTGTTTATTGCAACTATAGTCTATGTTTTCCATCTCTGATTACCCACAACCCCTCACTTCTAGTTCCGGAGAAGAATTCTTAGTTGAAGGGCCTTAGAGTGCAAGACCTCATCAGATCTACAGTGATGGAACTGAAATGAGAAATGCCTTTGTCATGTGAAACACATACAGAACAGTTCAAAAAAACTAAAAGCCATCATATATATTATCCAGTTTTTTCTTTTCTTTTCTTGTCTGTGATATAGCAGAAATTCTAGAGACTACATATTACCAACATAGTAGCATGAGAAGAGAGCTATAAAATATTGGCTTATCCTAATTTGGGTGAGACCATGTCTATATATAATCCATATAAGATACATGGAAAAAGGAATTAAAGAATTACACAATCAAACCCTAAAATTAAATTCCTAAATTAAATATACAATATTCCATATTTCAACATTCCATATTCCAACACTCCCCCTCAAGCTGGATCAAAGATGACAACCAACCCCGGCTTGCCAATGGAAGATCGAAGTAGGGATGGTCCTACAGATTTGGTGAAGATGTCAGTTGTCTGATCAGAAGATGGAACAAATGAAGGACATACAATGCCAGCTCGAACCTTTTCCCGGATAAAATGAATATCAACCTCAATATGCTTTGTACGCTCATGAAGCATAGAGTCAGAGGCAAGTAAAATGACAGACTTATTATCACAAAATAGTTTGGAGGAATTATTCTCCTCAAAACCTAACTCAGTAAGAATGGACCGAAGCCATAGTAACTCACATGTCCCGTGACCCATGGCGCGGTATTTAGCTTTAGCAAAGGATTGAGAAACAACCGCCTGTTTTTTTGCTTTTCCATGACAGAAGATGGGTACCAAGGAAGGTGCATACCTCAGAAGTGGACCGTCTATTAGTCAATGAACCGGCATAGTCTGCATCAGTAAAACAGGACAATCCTGTCTGAATCCCACCATTGAAGAATAAACCCAAACTTGGACATGACTTGAGATATCTCAAGATGTGGTGAACAACATCAAGGTGAGCAGTACGAGGTGAATGCATAAACTGACTAACCACACTTACAATAAATGTCAAATCTAGTTGTGTATTAGTCAAATAGATCAAACGTCCTACCAATCTTTGGTAACGAGTTGGATCAGAAAACAACTCACCAAACTCAGCCAAAAGTTTCAAATTCGGATCCATAAGGGTAGAGGCAGGCTTGCACCCCATCATACCGGTGTCCCGAAGAAGATCCAAAGTATACTTCCATTGGGACAATGATATCCCATTGCGAGAAGGAGCTACTTCAATCCCCAAAAAACATTTGAGAGGACCCAAGTCCTTGATGTCAAAAACTCGACTAAGCTCCTGTTTTACCTTAGCAATACCAATGGTGTCATCTCCTGTAAGGATGATATCATCTACACAGACCAACAAAATAATACATCGACCAATGGGCTGATGACAAATGAAGCATGTATGGTCGGAGTGACACTGAGTAAAATCCATGGATAGGATAACAGAGCTAAAACTATGGAACCATACACGAGGAGATTGCTTCAAGCCATAGAGAGACTTACGCAGACGACAGACCTTGCTAGCATACTCCTCCTCAGCCCGAAACCTGGGTGGAGGATCCATGTAGATCGTCTCAAGTAAGTCCCCATGGAGAAAAGCATTCTTGACATTAAGTTGATGAAGGTGCCAAGAAGAAGAGGCAGCCAAGGAAATAAGTAAACGAACAGTGGTCAATTTAGCAACCGGTGCAAACGTAGCCCCAAGGTCCTTGCCAGGAACTTGTGTAAAGCCCTTAGCAACAAGATGAGCCTTATAATGGTCCACTATACCATCAGCCAAGTATTTGACAGTAAAAACCCACTTGCACCCAACAGTCGTCTTACCAGAAGGTAAAGAGACAAGATCCCAAGTGTGATTATGCTCCAAAGCAACCATTTCAGTTTGCAGAGCGACAACCCATTGGGGATTCTGGAGAGCCTCGGACACAGACCGTGGGATAGAGACTGACTCAAGTTAGCTAAGAAAAGGCCGATGAGAAGCTGAAAGGGTATCAGAACATAAAAACTAGGAAATAGGGTGATTAGTACTACTAAACCAACCAAACCGATTAGGGGGACGGTGTTCACAGCTTGGATACCGAGAAGGAGTTGGAGAGGGAATAGTAGAGGGTGTACCTTGGCCTGAGGACGAAGAAGATGCTAGAGGGGGCGAAGTACGAGGGCGACGAGAGTATGTCTATAATGGCGGAGGACTAGCAGGTGCAGATACAGGTGATAACGAAGGTGCAAAGGAATCAATGATAGGAACAGGGCGAGCACTCGATGACATAGCAGAAGGCGGTGCACGCAAGGCGGAATCTTGAAACATAGGGTTAGAACCAAAAAATGACATAGCTTCGCAAAATGTGACATCTATAGAATGATAAAAAGACGGGACAACGGATCATAGCACCTACAGCCTTTAGAGAGAGCGAAATAGCCCAAGAAGATGCATTTAAGAGACTTGTTACCTAACTTGGTCCGAGTTGGACTATGCTCCTGAACAAAACAAGTACAACCAAACATAAGAGGCACAAGAGGAAATAACACAATATCTGGTCGAAGTAATTGAAAAGGGGCCAACCCGTGAAGAATCCGACTAGCTGACCGATTAATGAAGTAAACAACAGTAATCACAGTCATATGCCAATAGGACTTAGGGACATTCATCCCACAAAGAAGACACCGGACAACAGACATAATATGACAGTTTTTACGTTCAGCAATTCCATTTTGTTCAGGGGTGTAAGTACAAGTGAGTTGCTGCAAAATTCCCTGCGAAATGCATCAGAGATGTACTCCCCCCCATTATCAGAACAAACATTGCGTACAACGGTGTGGAATTGGGTTTTGACCATTGGGAGAAATTGAATAAGAAGTGAAAGCACATCAGACTTCTTTTTAAGCAAATAAGCCCAAGTACACCTAGAATGGTCATCTATGAAAGTTACATAATAGTGATGCCCAGAAAAAGCCAAAAAAGGAGAAGGACCCCAGATATCAAAGTGAATAAGGTCAAACATACAGGAGGCACGATACATGCGAGGAATATAAGAAGTATGAGTATGTTTAAACAGTTCACAAACAACACAATGAAACTGATGATCCTTGCAAGCTTTATTAAATGACAGAAAAAATAAACATGAATAATTAAAGTTTGCATGTCTTAAACGAGCATGCTATAAGGCTAAAGTTTGAAAAGAAAACACATAGGAAGACGACTCAGGTAATATAGCTACTTGTAGGCCAGAAATGGTAGGATGAGAAGGTGGTGGGTCCCCGTAGTATAGCTCGTCGCGCTCAAACCCCCTGCTAAAAATCTTCTTCGAAGTCAGGTCTTATAATAAACAATGAGTAGGTAAGAAAATAACAGCACAATGAAGGTTTTTAGCAAGGAGACTCACAGAGAGAAGATTATAAGCAAAAAGGGACACATGTAAGATAGAAATAAGTGTAACATCAGACGGCAAGGACACATCACCCTTATGTTGGACATGTGAAATAGACCCATCAGCAAGACATACAGTCTGAACAGTAGTGGAGACAGGAGAGGATAAACAAGAAAACTCACCAGTCATATGATCATTGGCCCTAGAATCCAATACCCAAGTAGGTGCAGTGCAAACATGAAAGGCTGTAGGAGTACCTGTAGCGAGTGTAGTAGTGGAAAGAACACTTGGAGACATGGCAATGAATGAACCAAGTTTCTATTGAAGGCGACCAATCTGAGATTGAAGCTGATGAAGATCAATAGCATGAGTTGGCTGAGGAGTACTAGAGGTGTCTGCAATAACAACAGTATGGGGAGAGCCTGAAGAGCGTGTCATTGCAAAGCGTTGCTTTAACTCAGGATAAAGCTTGAAGCACCGTGCTTGGACATGACCAGCTGCACCACAATGGTGACAAATAACCTTGCTACTAGAAGCACGAGAACTAAACTTGGCAGCAAGAGCCAACTGATCTGAAACAGAAGATAAGGCAGGAACAGAGGAAGGAAGCGGAGCCACCGGTTGAATCAATCGACGATGACGCTCCTCACTGTCAATAGTAGCAAAAGCCTCATATAAGGATGGCATAGGTGACGTGTTCCAAATCTGAATAAGAAGAGACTTGAATTCAGGTTTTAAACCCATAAGAAATTGATAAGTGTGCTGGCGAGCAAGACGAGCAAACACAATAGAAGCAGCAATAGCTAGAAAATCACTCAATGACTCATACTGTGCTAACTCCTCCCAACGAGACTGAAGATATCCAAAAAATTCAGCAACGGTAAAATCCAAAGCTTCCTGAAAGGCATGAGAAATATCCTGATACAGCTCGAAAATCCTAGCATCATTGTGGGCATGTGTGTACATCTGGGTAAGAGCACTCCACAACCGAGGAACTGTATCACAATACATAAACATGTTGTAGATGCGTTCTTTCATAGAGTTGAACATCCAACCAAGTAAGGTGCAATTGTCAATATCCCATTGAACCCGCTTAGGATCATCAGCGGGAGGTTGTATCTCAGTTTCCAAAAGCCATCCAGATTTGCCTCTACCCCCCAAGGTAGAGACGTATAAACCGACTCCAAGCCGTAAAGTTGCGACCAATGAGCAACACACTGGTAATCCGATGAACTGGAGCATGGGAGGGCAAGGAAACATCTGAACGAGGCATAATGCTTTGAGTTTGTGTAACAAAGTCAGACATGTTGAAACACCATGAAGCCGAAGTAGCGGCGTCACACAAAAGAGATGCTACCGAACACACCGGTTGCCCAACATAACAGAAAATCAAACTAGAAAGTGCTTACCACATCAGCACATGAACCCTAGAAGGGTAAAAAGAGAAGAACAACACCCAAGAGGGGAAGCCGCACTAGACCTAAGGCAGGGAGGGCCTAGTCGGCACCTAAGGAAACTGCGGCAGCGAGGAAAAGGGACTGCCGAGGGGCTGAGAAGGAAGAGGAAAACTTTAGGCTGGGTGGAGGGAAGAAGAAGGGCTGTCGGGTGGCTGGGTAGGTGGTTTAGGGCTGCTGACAATAGAAGACAAGGGTGGTGGGTGGCTAGGGTTTGGGTGGGTGGCTAGGGTTTGGCTCTGATACCAAGAAGAGAGT